CATTAAATAATTTATAAAAATAATTTCTACATCTTTTCTTAATTTCGTTATCATCAACAAGTATTCTTTCATCTTCATCTTTAATACATCTAATATTATATAAATTCTTACGCTTTCTTTTCCTAGCTTTAGCAATTTGATATATATTTTTTTTTCATTTTTAGTATCTAATTTCTTATAAAAATTATTATAAGCTTTACGCCTTGTCATCCTAACCTCGTTTTTAGATTCCTTATATCTTTTTATTGTTTTCTCCTTTTTACAATTTTATCAATCTGCAAAACATGATCTTTTAGTAATAATTGCTTTTTAAACTTCCTTACACCACCACCAACTCTCTATTAAGGCTACACCTTTACAGTTTCGCCAAAGATATCTTTTGTTAAGCTCTTAATTTTATTGATTATCGTAGTCCAAATAATATTAATATTGTCATATTTTAGGTTCTAAGTCATCTCCCTTTTCATCCTATTATTAAAAATCCTTATACTATCATCTTTAAAACTTCACCATCTATCTTTATCTTCTTCGATTTTCTACAACAAATATCTTATACCATTAATCCATGTTGATTCGTCAAAATTTCGCCGGGTATAACTCTACAATTCTTACATATAACTTTATCAACCTTTTCTAGTAAGAAAAAAGTCAATCTAACTATTTGTAATCACACTTATAAGTAATCAAATGTTTATCTTTTTTACTATTTATTATACCACCACTTTTATTTCACTCCTCATAACCAAAGTCCCTTGCATCCCTTTAAATTCAATGTATGTTTTTTCTACATGATCATTCAAATCTATCATCCAATTATAAGCTTTTCCGTATAGGTATTCCTTAAATGAGATCATCTAAATTTTCCAAAAATTCTCTTTTGATTTGATTATCTAGTCCAACTTAAGGGGCATAAACACTTATGACATTCAAGGCATCTTCTCTTAAGACAAATTTTAGAATTATAATTCTATCTCTAAATATTTTCACATCTACAACATTGTTCTTAAGACTCTTATAAACCATAATTCCTACACCATTTCTGTGTTTAACTTTTCTGATATAGCAAATTTTAAATCAAAGCAATAACTTAGTTTCTCCTACCAACTTGGCAAATTTTAACCATCAATCTAGCTAGAATTCTCTCTTACCAACTTAGTTTCTTGTAAATAAATAATATATATTCTTCTAATCATAGTATCCACAATTCTAATCTTTTTCCTAAAAGTATTCCTATGTTCTATCTTGCTAACATAATCCTTTGTTCTTGAACTAACTTCTTTGCTTGCATAAGCCCAAAGCAATAAGAGAATCCTTGCCTACTTTGCACCACATCTAGGTGCCAATGTGATGGGCCACTTTCGAGCAACTTCCTAGTCCATCGTTTGCAATTCAGGACACCTAAGTAGTGAAGGTACCTTGCATTACTTTCAGTTGACAACCTAATCATAAATTGAAATTTGATTAAGATCCATTTGCATGATATCTGATGTAGTTTTACACTGGCTGTTTATGTGTGAAATTACTAAAAAAAAATGGTGTCATTTGTGAAAAATTAGGTGTATATTTTATGTATAAAATAAGAAAGAAGAAATCAAGATAGTATGGACTTGTGTTTAAGAGGCTTACAGATGCTACAGTTAGAAGTTATGAGATAACTAGTGTTTGATGGCATAAGGAGATATAGAGAAAGACCTAAGACGATGTTAATAAATACTATAAATAAAGATTCAATTTAACTGAAGATATTGCTTTTTCCAGACCTCAATGGCAATAAAAGATCTAGGTAGCCAAACCCAAATAGTTAAAAGTTATAACATTGTAGCTTGTTGTTGTTGTTGTTGTGAAGTTACTAATGTTTGTTTCCTTCTCAATCCATTTAATAAGCTTAGCCTTAGCATCTTTTCACTTCATTTTATAAGCTTAGCCTTAATATCTTCTCATTGCTATAGTTTCCAAAATGTACCAACTATATACTTCCTTTGGCACCATGCAAAAACACTCATAAAGAAGAGTCAAATATAGGTCAACAATGTCATAACTTTTAGGTTATTATCCCATCATAATTAAAAAAAAAAGCTATTATCTTATCTGACTACATATAAAAAAGACCATTTTACAAACAGAGTAGCTTCCATTTTACACCATCACCTTAGCTATGTCTATAATGATAGTGGCTAATGGGCCCATGTTTATACCCTCATCCGTTCTTCTACCGATAAAGTGAGATGAGGGGTGGGTTCAAAACTTGGTAAAGAATTGACCAAATATTAATACTATAAACCATCTATTTCTTATCAATGCTTCACCAATGGCAAGGTCAAGCATAAGCACATCCTCCTAGAGAGTCAAAGAACATACAGAAATCCTCCAACTCAATCCTCCAAAAACTGATTCATGACCACCTTTTGCGGAACTCAAGTCTATAGTTAGCAACATCAGTCACTGCTTGATCAGTATGCTATACAACAATAAGTATCAAATTGAATTTGTCTGATTTTTCATCCTTATAGAAATCTCCAAAGGAATTTGTTTGAGTAAATCAAACCCAATTGGTGTTAGTTGATTTTGTCTAATTCTAGCCAATTGACTACCACAAAAGAAGAAAAAGTGGGGAAGAGCAAAAAGAAGCAAAAGGATAAGACAGAAGTTAAGTTAGAGGGGAAAAAAGAAACATTTGTATATGTTTGTGAAACAGTGAAGAAGATCCTGCTATTATGCATTTGTCACTTACTACAACAACTGCATTTGTCATCTACCAGCATTATGGTAAATTTATTTGAGTAGCACTGTGTAAGATAAAAGAAAGGATATGGGGAGAAAAAATGGGAGGACCTCTTAAGGAAATAGGCATTCTACATCAAGAAAGAAGACATCATGAAATTTGGAATTAATATCAAATTCATAGTCACTCTTGTTTGTCCAAATGATTTTTTTTGTTAATCTCTGTATTAGCCTCGACTTTATCTGCATGGTAATTTGAAAAGCACTAGGGCTACAAATGGGACCCATTGCTAACATCTAAGTTCTCAGTTGACAAATTTTGGATCTTTCTGCATAAATTATAAAACATTTTTTACTACAATAATATATTTGTATGTTGTAATAATTATTTTATTTTCTTGCAAAAATATACATAATTTTTTAATGAATAAATGTTCATTGTTTTTCAAAGGTAAAAGAATCTTTTACACTAACATATAATACTTCTATTTTCAAAACAATATTATACATTCAATAACATTTTACCATTGTTATGATTTTTAAGTTTTTATAATTTTAAAATATTTCTCAAGTGATCCCGATCATATTGATCCGACCCAACCAATTCTACCAATATTGATTATATCATTCGTAGCTCACTTCCATCCTGATCTTGTATTTTGCACTAATAACTTTCAGGATCTTTGTTGATATTTACTAGAATTTTATTTTTGGCCGCCCAAGTAATTCATGTAATGGCTAGGCCTTGTCCCGACAGTAAATTTATAGGTGTCCCTTTCTTTTCTAAGGAAAACTTTGCATCTAATTTTGATAAGATGGGTGCATGAAACGAAAATGAAATAACATAGTTACTTACTCTTACTATTCATGTGTTAAATGATATTGTAAAAATTAACAAATATGGGCATCCTTCTTTATTATTCATATCACTGGAACAAGTTGTATGATGGAAGATGGTATCACAAAGCATGCATTTGGCCTTCATAATATTTAAAATTTTACAGCATTTATGATCAGTAATAGTTTCATAACTAACAAAAAAAAAGGTTCCCTTCTTTTTTCTCATATATTGAATATGTAGGATTATGTTCAGGGATAAAAATTTTAGATTCAGTCTCAAGCAAAACTTTTTTCTTAAAAGGTACTATAGGTTTCATACTCCAACAGGTTCTATGATGGATGATATTATCATATCTTATCTAAACCTAGCATATATAGAGATTGATTTTTTATCTTCAAGGGGATCAAAATTTTATAACAATTATATATGTCATGGATTTAGCTAGTTTTGTCTATGTCATGCGGCACCCTTGCATGTCCATTTGCAAAAGGTCAGTCTCCTCGAAATCTCTTATGGTCCCTTAAAGATTTACAAAAGAGAAGACGGAATAGAGGAAACGTTTAACTCAAGATCCCACAAGCAGATATTTCAGCAAACACTTGATAGACAATACAAATTATAAACATAGACTTAGCAAGCTCTAAACAATCACGTGATAAAGGATCTAAGGTGGTCTGCCATGATAAAAAGTCACCACAAGTGCTCACGTGACACCGTTACATAACAAGACAGCGAACTAGCCCTTTCATTGGTACAATTTAAATTCTGACTACAACTATGACATCACTAATAATTTCTTATTATTGTGGCTTCCAATTTTTACAGTTCCATATATTTATCTTTAGAGCAAACTTCCTAACTTAATTTTAGCGAAGACATAAATACAATATTAGTATTCATTTTTTTACATAATGATGATATCGATTCTTTTCTATTACTCTTGGAGCCCCCTGATAAATCCTGGTTTCAACTCTGGGCCTTAAATTTCAGATATATATATAGTAAATCAATAAACTATAAATAAAGAGCAGAATTTTTTCATCAAGTTGAGTGGACTAAGAAAAATAAATATAAGCCTACCACGCTTTCCTTCCATCCACCTTCATAGCGAGAAATATGTGACACATCCGGTCAATTAAGAGAAGAAAATAGATCAAGCCGACTGGGGAACGAAGGCGCATGCTTGAAAAAGTAATCGATCTCATTTTCTTTCTAATAAACCGAGCTTAATTAAAAACCATTTCTGCATAAACTTGCAATCAGTGTAAAGATTTAACCAATTTACAATCTTAAAAGTGTGAATTAGGGATTTTCTACTCGATAAAGGGTGAATTCCCCGACCCCGAGCCTAATTCGAATAGCAAAGCTATTATCATTCGAACGATGTCGAAGAAAAGAACAATTATGTGAAGATAATCTTGTGGCAAAATGTACTCACCAGATCTTTGAATATGATGAAAGCGACGAAGAAGAAGAGGAAGAAGAGGATCTCAAACTCAGCGAGATGGACGAAGGCGAACACCGAGCTCACCGCCCTCGTCAGCAACGACTCCCGCAGGACGGGAGGTCTGCCACGCCGCTGCATCGCCGACCTGTTGGATCTGCTCTGATCGGAGGACGCGAAGCCGCCGTCGGAAGGAAGCACACACACAAACCTCAGCGAAGAAGAATCGTGCAGAAACTAGCTAGTTCTTTTCTTTGCTCACGCGAAATCCACGTGAGTGCAATGGGGGAGGTTTTTTTATTAGGTAATTTATAAAAAAATAATAATGAGATTTTACGATGACCCTATATTTATTTTTTACCACGGATAACTCCTTTGTTTAAAATACCAAAAATACCTTTAAAATTGGGTTGATCCTTTTTATTGAATTGGGTAGCTTGATTCAAACTCGATTGATCCAAAGGTTGGTTCAGGCCAATTGTGATCATAGTATGGGTCGAATGGATTTTGATCGAATTCTACAAAGTAAATCGGGTTAGATTTTGGGTAGTAGAGACCAATGCTTCTTTCCATGCTCTACTCCTCTATAGCGCTGAACGACAACAATATCCTCCTCTCTCAAGCGATAGTAAAATCCTCTATTCCTCTTTGGCCATGAAGAACAATGATATCCTCGCTTCTTTGGTGGCAACGAATTCCTCTGCTCCTCTCCGATAACAACAAAGTCCTTTGCTCCTTTATGGTATTTGCAAACGGTAATGGCATCCTCCCCTCTCCGGTAGTGATGAACTCCTTTGCTCCTCTCTAGTATTTGCATCGACGACAACCTCATCTTCTCTCCGACTATAAATGGTAGTGTCTTCATTATCGATAATATCCTCCCCTCTCCAATGACAAACTTCTCCCTTTTTTTAAAAAGAAAAAGTGATAATTTTATTTGAAACTCTTTTTTTTTGTTGATTCATTATGTGTGCTAATCCTATTAACATTGTGAGAGTCCTTGAAGGTTTCGTTTTTGTATTATGAAAATGATTGACTATTCACTAATTATTGATATTTATATTTTTGACATAATATAAGGATTTTATTAGCTTTTGATGAAATGATGGGAGATTGATGATCTAAACTAAAAGAGAGTCTTTGTTGGTGAAATTGTTATTGTTGAGATGTCAAGATCTTGGGTCTAGATCAGTAAGCTTAGTGGAGGTATTTAGAAGTGTGATTATATTTGCAACACCTTCTAGGATTATTATTGATAGTATTCTATGTTCATAATGAGGTTTGAGCTAATTAATTCTTTTTTTTAGTTATAATCATGTGTGAAATTATAAATATAACTTTCTCTTGAAAGAAGTAATATTTTTCAAATCTTATTTTAGTGTGTGTATAATTATCTTAGAGGATTTATATTTCTTATCTTAATTGATGAAATTGGAGAAACACCAACTACATGTTTTGCATAGTGAAAATAATTTATAAATATCAAACGTTTAGAATAGTCGCTTTCTATGACTTTTTACTTTTATATATTTAAACTTTAGATACAATGTCTCTTATTTATAATATTTAATTTTGTATATAAATAGAATAGCACCAGGATGTAGATTTCTTTGACTTAGGGGTAAGAAAGTAGATCAAGTAGCTACTACAAGTAATATATATCATAACTTAATAAATTATATTAATCATTATTAAGTTATATATAACTATTTTTTTAAGGTGTAAAGTTGAATATGCCTAAATCAACCATTCCTACATCTTCATCCTCACTTGTGTCACCCCCTCATTCACCACCACATGCTTCCTCAGCTTCCATGTCACTCCCTCCATAATATATAGTTAATTATCATTGTTATATCAATCATTTTATACATTTTATTTGTAAATTGAGTGGTAGGAGTTTAGTCGCATGATATCTATTTTTACTAGGCTATGTCATCTTCCTTAGGAGAACACCTCCTTCTAATATAATAGATATTCCTAACATTCCTACGTATTAGTCTGCTCTGTATAGTATTTTGTAACATTGTACAAAGGGATCCATTTTTCACTTTTGGTGGTGTCCTAGTTGTGTTTAGCCCAAGCAATGTTGCTTTGATTTTGAGAGTTCCTAACCATAGATCATAGATATTAAACCAATGGGTTTGAGTTATATGTTTACGAAATACTATAAAGATCAACCCTCTAGTAAACAAAATATAGAATAGTTAATGTGTAGGCTGTGTTGAATCTCATATTTTGATGATGAAACTACTTGATATATGTTTATGATTTAATCTGCGTTTTAAGTGACGCAGGATGCTTCGATCAGGATGAGACAATTAAAGCAGGAAAATCATGTTGTGCCGGAGGAACATGTCAGAAGATTGGACGTCGGGCCGGTGGATCGTTCGACGTATCAACAGAAGGCTTCGGGCCGTGGACTCGGGCATCGGGCCAAGAAGAGCGGGTATTGTGCCAAGGATATCGGAGTTGCGAAGTCAACTGACCGATTGGGCAATAGGCTGCAAGAGAGGACGATGCGCCGAAGAATCGGACGAAGCGTCGAGGGACCAATGACATGCCGGACAACTTGGTTAATTGCTTAGGATTAATTATCTCGATCGAAGTTTTGTTTTAAGTGTG